AGAACAGAAATGCTGTTTCAGGTCCGAGAAAGCTTGTTCAGCCAAGGAAGTCCAGGCAAAGCGTTGTGAGTATGGTAGTGTTACCTCTGGATGAGACTACTGCTATTCCCTGATGGCTGGTTTTGATAGAAAACAATCAGAAAGAGATATATGAACCAAATTTTCCTTTGAACTGAGATTCTAATTTTGATAGAAAGAACATCTGAAATTTAATTGTAGAAAATGTTTAAAAAGAGACTCAGTGATGTTAAACACACACAGTGTCGTTGGCCAACTTTGCTTGCTCAGCTGTTTTATGATGATCCTTGTGCAAACAGGATACAATTTGTCATTTCTGATTGGATAATGCAACAGAGGCTGAGCCTATTAAAGATCTGCATATGTGAACAAGAATAGTCATCAGTGCTGTTGCACTGATGATACAGAGATCATCACATATGAAACAAATATTTCACCAAGAGCTAAAACAAACTGTTATTTTTCACACTGTATAAGGGTTTATCGCTACTTTATTATTTTTAATGTAGGTTTCTATATTGCCAAAAAGTATAAATTGTATTGAATTGTAGAATCCCAAAAACATGGAACCACAAGTTACTGTCAACAGGACTAATGTTGTGACTGATATATATACCTGCTATGGAATAGATAACATCAGTTATGATTTAACAAGCACAGGCAATCCTTTTGTTATATGTGTATTATTGTATATGTTCCTTTTATTACTGTCTGTTATTACAATATGTGGAAATCTCCTTGTAATAATCGCCATCATTTACTTCAAACAGCTCCACACTCCTACAAACTACCTTATCCTCTCTCTATCTGCAGCTGACCTGCTTGTTGGGCTTATAGTCTTTCCTTTTGACATGACATTCACCTTCAGCTCATGTATGTATCATGAAAATTTTTTTTGCAAAGTGCGAGGCAGCTTTGATGTATCACTGAGCACATGTTCTGTTCTGAATCTATGCTGTATTTCTATTGACAGATATTACGCAGTGTGTCAGCCTCTGACATACAAAATTAAAATAAATCATCATGCTATTGTTATCATGATCAAGCTGAGCTGGGGTGTTTCTGTTCTAATAGGAATTGGTGTGATGATAATTGGAAAATGTGAGGAAAATTGTGCAATTAATATTCTTATTACAAACACTATTGCACCTATTTTATCATTTTATCTCCCAGTCATCATAATGCTCTGTATCTACCTGAAGATTTTCTTTGTGGCACAGACACAGGTACGCAGCATCCAGAACACAACCAGTCGGAGCTCAGAGTCCAGAGGAACTGTCAGTAAAATGGAGAGGAAGGCTACAAAAACTCTGGCTACTGTTTTGGGGGTTTTTCTTTTATGTTGGACTCCTTTCTTTCTTTACCTAACCTTTATGCCTGCTA